CGCCCGCCCTTAGGTTTAGCCCTCTGACATTGCTATGGACTTCGGTTGGTCGCCGTCAAGGGGCCTGGTAGGAATTTTTTCCACTTGGCAAATTGGCACCAGCCATTTGGTTTTTCGCCTACCTCGTAGCAAATCGTCACAACTTCCTCGGCATTGGTGGTTAGGCATTGGTAGGGGTGTTGTTATGCAGATGAAAGCGGGGGAGGAAGCACCATCACCTTCCCCCCCAAATCGAAGGGTAGCCCGGTAAAGGATTCCAGGGGAGTCGCCTTGTCCTAAGCCTATGGAGGTGTGGATCTACGGCACGCCCCCAAGCGGGGGGAACTCCTAGTTGACGTGCATCAGCGGGACTCCCCCTACTGGTGGTTAAACCTTGCCGGCTTTCATGCAATCAGGCTGAAGCCGGTTAGTCAATAGGACCAATGCCTAAGCCAATACCACTCAATTCCTGCAATGAATAAAGTTGTGGCCTTTTCCGCCCATTAACCTTAAATGCTGTGTCTTTATTTTCCAAGGGGGGAGGCGGGACTCGCCACGCAACAGGGGAAAAAAGGGCACAGGAGGATGCCATTCCTATGTTCCCCACATCACGTCTCATTTGGTCCTTAGACTCACCTCTTAAATTACCCAGCCAGGAAGGGTGAGGTGAGGAAGGGCAGTCTTAAGTATACCCGGCGCCGTGGTGCAAAGATCCCTACAGCGACGGCGCCCCCCCCCCCATTTCCAAGAGTTGCCAACCATTTTACGGCGCTGCCGGCAGCTTTGCGGGGCCGTAGGAGGCGGGCAGCAGCTGGAGGGCGTCTGCTCCAGCAGGGAAGAGGCAGAGGCTCTGGGTGCAACGCTGCCTCAGGGAGGCGGGTGAGGGTGGCGAGCTGATGCCAGGAGGCGCCGTGCCCAGCTTCCGCCTCTTTCCTGGCGCCCTCCAGAACGTGGTGCCCTGGTGCCCCGCACCACTTGCCTCTATGGGCAAGACGCCCCCAAAGGAGGGGCAGTCAGGAGAATGGAGGGCAGGACGCTGTAGCCATCAGCTGCCAGAACAGGACAGAGATTTGCATAACATTTGCATATGCCAATAGGTGCCATGTGAGAAGACTAGAGGGGTCTTCCTTCCACCTGAAACTAGCCACAGGAAGGGAGGCGCAGGCTAGCCTGGCTCCACATGCCTGGATCTATTTTTTTGTGGACGAGTGGAGTTGCCTTCTCGCTGCCAACAAGGGGGGGTGAGACCCGTTTCTGGCCTACTGCCCAGCAACAACCAGGGAGAATGTGCATGCATAGAAAAGTTAGTCATGTACAGTTGTTAAGGGCAGTCATCCCAGCAGATCTGGAGAAAAGATCACTCGTTCCACTGCCAACAGTGCCGGATTTATGTATAAGCTAAACAAGCTATAGGGGGGGGGAAACCTGGATGTACATTTCAAAAATATAAGATAAAAAAAACAAATAAAATAAAACCTACATACAGCAACAGTGTTTTGTGTTGTGCAGGCTCCTATGATGGAAGTAATGGGCCCCGCCTGCTAGCCTGCTCCCTAAAATATCACTTCGTTGTTCTTTAGTTGCTCATTTCTATATACCTGAAGGTATAAACCTGAAGGAGCGTCCCCACCCCCATCGTTCAGCCCGGACACTGAGGTCCAGCGCAGAGGGCCTTCTGGCGGTTCCCTCACTGCGAGAAGCAAAGCTACAGGACACCAGGCAGAGGGCCTTTTCAGTAGTGACACCCGCCCTGTGGAACGCCCTCCCATCAGATGTCAAAGAGATAAACAACTACCTGACATTTAGAAGACATCTGAAGGCAGCCCTGTTCAGGGAAGTTTTTAATGTGTGACATTTTAATGCATTTTTAATCTTTGTTGGAAGCCGCCCAGAGCAGCTGGGGAAGCCTAGCCAGATGGGCGAGGTACAAATAAATTATTATTATTATTATTATTATTATTATTATTATTATTATTATTATTATTATTATTATTATTATTATTATTATTCTGTATAGTGTGCCTACATTCTGCATGGACTGGTTGCATGGCAACATGGGCAAATGGCTTTAGATACCTATTAGGTCCATAAATTACCATGTAGCATATATTCAACACAAAAAACAGCAACAATTTGTTGTTGACAAAGGACAGCTAGACTTAAAAAGGTCCCATTACCTTCAGTAGCTTAGGGCCTCATCAAACCTAAATCCAGCCCTGACAATAATAAAATTCAAAACAGTGGCAATGAGTTGCACATTTACTTAAAATCTAAGTGAAACTACTGGATTAAAAAAAATAAATGCTGAACTTGACCCAGCCAGAGCCTCTTTTCAAAGTCTGATAGTCATTTACACCTCCAGTGCCCTCCTGTCGTCCCCTTGGCTCTTAGTGCCACCATATCTTGTAAACTGGCCTGAGACCTGCAGGTATAGGGCAGTACAGTGAAGAAGAAGAAGAAGAAGAAGAAGAAGAAGAAGAAGAAGAAGAAGAAGAAGAAGAAGAGGAGGAGGAGGAGGAGGAGGAGGAGTTTGGATTTGATATCCCACCTTTCACTCCCTTTAAGGAGTCTCAAAGCGGCTAACATTCTCCTTTCCCTTCCTCCCCCACAACAAACACTCTGTGAGGTGAGTGGGGCTGAGAGACTTCAGAGAAGTGTGACTAGCCCAAGGTCACCCAGCAGCTGCATGTGGAGGAGCGGAGACGCGAAGCCGGTTCCCCAGATTAGGGGACTACCGCTCTTAACCACTACACCACACTGGCTCTCCGAGTGGTATCTCGGGTTAAGAACTTAATTTGTTCTGGAGGTCTGTTCTTAACCTGAAACTGTTCTTAACCTGAAGCACCACTTTAGCTAATGGGGCCTCCTGCTGCCACTGTGCTGCCACCGCATAATTTCTGTTCTCATCCTGAAGCAATGCTCTTAACCCGAGGTACTATTTCTGGGTTAGCGGAGTCTGTAACCTGAAGCGTCTGTAACCTGAAGTATATGTAACCCAAGGTACCACTGTATACCAATTTAATAAACAAATAAAATAATAATAATTTACGGCTTGCTGTGCTCTGAAAAAAAACTGTATGGAAATGATGTACCAGTGGTATTTGACTCTTAGGAAACCAGCAAAATTGTTTAAGACAAGTACAAATACCTGTCAGAAATGTAAAGAGAAAGAAGGCACCTTTCAACATATGTGGTGGTCCTGTAAGGTAATAAAAGCATTCTTTACCAGAATTATTAGAATGGAGAACCAAATTTATTGAATTCGTGGAGATGGCAAAATTAACAGCATCAATTAGAGGCTACTCTAATCAAAACATTAATAAAGAGTGGGAATGTGTTAAGGAATAGATGGAAAAAGTCAGTGCTGGAGTTTAAAAACTAACATGCAAAAGTTTAAAAGGCGCAAGGAGATAGGATAATAATATATCAAGGATGGAATAACAAATAAAGTGAATAACGCAACAGTAACAAAAATAATAGTAGGTAAAGAAGAGGGCATGGGGGAGGGAGGTGAAGGGATTAGTTGAAATTGTTAAAGATTGGTATAGGATTGAAGAGATTTAAATTTTTATAAAGATTCTATAAGGAAAGCAGAAAGTAGCAAAAAATATCAAGTAAAGGTATGGGAGAGAAGATCAGTGTAAATGAAAACATGAGACTTAATGCTTTTGTTACATATGATTTAATTTGAAGTTGTCTGCTTATTTTGGAGTTGTTTGTTGTAAAGAATGTATATTATGTGAATAAAAATAAAGAAAGAAAAAAGAAGCAACATTCTAAATATTTGCAGTCAGTTACTATTTGTAACTAACAATGTTGTACAAATATTAAAGAAATGGATCTGTTCTTAGCTGTGATCCCAGAGCCTTCAAGATAGCCAAGGGTGGAATGGCACAAAACAATACTTGGCAGATTCCTTCACTCAGTTAGTTTTTCAAGGTATGAAAAACTTCCTTCACTCAGTTTTTCAAGGTATGAAAAATGCCGAATTGTCAATATTTGTGACATGAAGGCACACTTTCTCATGCCTCTGGTCTATTGAAAATGTCAGCTTGTCAACATTTCCATCCACCTTAGGCAAAGAATCTGACCAACGTAGACAAAATAAGCAGATTTTTCTGTTGCCAAGAAAATAAAAAAATTACTGAAACACAAAATAAAATAAAATAATAAAATAAAACAATAAAAGCATTCTGTGAAATGATATATAATGAATTGGGAAAAAAACCTAGCAGTTCGAAAGCACATCAAAGTGCAAGTAGATAAATAGGTACTGCTCCGGCAGGAAGGTAAACGGCATTTCTGTGCGCTGCTCTGGTTCGCCAGAAGCGGCTTAGTCATGCTGGCCACATGACCTGGAAAAACTATCTGCGGGCAAACGCCAGCTCCCTCGGCCAGTAAAGCGAGATGAGTGCTGCAACCACAGAGTCGGTCACGACTGGACCTAATGGTCAGGGGACCCTTTACCTTTACTAAGGGGCACTCAGAATGGGTTCATACAATCAACCCAGAAAAGTTTGAGAACTGCTGCTCCAGAGTTATAAAAGCCTAAAAGCCAGCTCGGACGGAAGGCCTAGCAGGTTTGGCCACACTCTAATCATGCCCAGATGCCTCTGTGAAGCCCACCAGCAGGCCGGGGGCCCACCATGGGCACTTGCATCAGAGGCATGAACGCAAAAGGACAGAGGTGCTAACTTAGGAGAACAGAATAAAACCCTTTGCAGAATATAAATAAGATGTTCTCAACTGCTTCTCTCTCCCCCCTTCCCTTCCCTTGCTTTCAGGACAAACGCAAACAATTCTTTCCATTAAAGTCATTTTCTTTTAGGGTGGGGAGAAAAGGAAAAAGGAAAAAAAAAAACCCAACACAGGAAAGGAACATTGGGGGGGGGGGGAGAGTCCCTGGCGCTGCATCCGCAGGCTGTTTGAAAAGTTTACAGGCTTTGCACCAATGGCCGTCCAGGGCCTGTTTTGTTTTGTTTTTTTCCCCGCCTTTGCCAATGAAGTCATGGGGGAAATATGGCATTCCTCTCATAAAGTAAGAGGGCGAGGAGGGGCTGGAAGAAGGGGGGCGAGAGAGAGAGGCAGAGGAGCGGAGTTAAAGCTACAGGAGGCCTGATCCGTGCAAGAACCGGGCTTCCTCCTGCGTCGGGGAGGAGCGAAAGTTTTGCGTCCCACCGACGGCGGGGAGGTTTGGGGAAGGCGCTCGCTCCCGGGGCGGACCTTGCTCTTGCAGTCGCCCCACCAGCAGCAGCACCCAAGCAGAAGGGCACCCCCACCCACCCACCCAGCCAGCCAAGCACCCAGAAGTGGCTGATCGCGGCCGTCCGGGCAGCCTCCCGCGATGGACGCGATGCAAGTGGAGAAGAGCAGCGCGTACGTTTCGCCGTCCAGCCCCGACGGGCCTCTGGATCGCGGCAGCCCTAGTCCGGCGCCGTCGTCGGGCAGCCGTAGCCCCAGTTTGCAGCCGGGGCCGACGGCGACGGGGGCTCCGGGAGCTCCGGGCGAGGCGGTCCGCGACAGCTCTCAAGTGAACGCCATCACGGTGCTGACTCTTTTGGACAAGCTGGTCAACATGCTGGACTCGGTGCAGGAGAAGCAGCAGAAGATGGAGCAGCGTCAGGTGGACCTGGAGGGCTCGGTCAAGGGCATCCAAAGCGACCTGAGCAAGCTGTGCAAGCAGCACACGTCCACCAGCAACACGGTGGCCAAGCTGCTGGAGAAGTCGCGCAAGGTCAGCGCCAACACGCGCGAGGTGCGGGAGCGCATGGACCGCCAGTGCGCGCAGGTGAAGCGGCTGGAGCACAACCACGCGCAACTGCTGCGCAGGAACCACTTCAAGGTCCTCATCTTCCAGGTAGGTCGGGGGTGGGGGATCTGGAGAGAAAGGGCCGGGGGTCTGGGGACAGGGGTGCCAACTCGAATAAAATATTGGCAGCACCCCCTAGGCAGTCAAACTCTTCGGGAGGGGCGGGGTTGGGGGGGCTTGCAAATAATCTCCTAAAACTAAGAAAGCTTGATTGCACTTTTCCTTCGGGATCAAATAAATATTATTTTGATCTGTTGTCGCGGGGCCCCTAAAAATCCCCATAAACTGGTGCCTACTCTATTTGGTAATCTGGCACTGGGGGGGGCAGGTAAGCCCCACCCCACATAATTGATTTCAAGACGTGGCACATGGACACCATTTGAATGGCAATGCCCATCAATTGGGGGGGGGGTTTCAACAGCCGCAAATACTTTATGGGGGCGGACAAAGGGACCTCAGCCCTCAGAGTTGGCTCCTGTGGGTGGGGGTGAGACGAGGGGAGATTGGGGCCGCAGGGACAGGCTTGCCCCAGAGAAATGTTCGGCCAGCCACTGTTCAGCAATTGCCAGAGACCTCCGAGGCAGGGTGGTGCAATGGTTAGAGTGCCTTTCTACCCCTGGCAAAACCCAGGTTCCAGTTTTCACTGGGTCATCAAGTGTGCTGGGAAGCTTAGGCCAACCACTATCCCTTAACTTAGCTGTTTTTGGACTACAATTCTCATCATCCCTAGCTTGTGGGACCAGTGGTTGGGGGTGATGGGAATTGTAGTTAAAAAACTACTAGAGTCTCAAGTTTGGTAAACACTTCATTAACCTATTTCCTAAAATTCATATGCCTCTTGGTTGTAGAAAACCTCATAGCGGTTTACAAAAACCTAACCTAACCTGCGACGCCCTGATTTCTCTGAAGGAAATGTGGAATATAAACTAGTCATCCAAGCAGTCCTTTTCCTGCCATACAGACTGTATTCATTTATCATTGTGCTTTTCCTACTCTCTCATCCACTCCCCGTTGCTCACACACGCCAAGATCTGGCAAAAAGAAAACATTTGCCCTTGGTCAAGTCTTGCTGGGAAACCCATTGCAGCAGGAATCCCACCAGATGTGTGCTGCGGTTACTATCAGCACATGCTCAGAGGCACAGTCCTGATGGTTGCCTCACAGGTTCCAGGTTTGAGTCTAGACATGAAAACAGGATCCTGAGGCCATGGTAAGCCAAGGCTGAAACTCAGCCTTGCCAGTTTTCAGTGCTTAAAGATCATGCCTGCTGCATGCCATACTCACAAAACTGAAATTGGTATGAATCATCAGATCTGTGTTCCCAAATTCCACTGAGCAAACACAGGTCTTATTTATGTAGTCTGGAAAAAATGATCCGTTAGCTGCCGGCCCTGTGATTGGTGCTGCCGATGGAACACGCCTCCCACTGAATCCTACCTCGTTCCTTTGCAGCAAATGATTGTCAGCTCCGATATGCAGCTAAGCCAGCAAAACAGTCCTAGAGTCTGGTCTTGTGCATGTTTACACAAAACTAAATCCCACTGGGTCTTACTCCCAAGTGAATTATGCACAGGACTGCAGCCACAAATGTGTCTTTGCCTGAGTTCAGTGATAAATGTGTTTTAAAAGTAGACGAACCTCTCTTTCAAAAACTGGCACGGCATCTGCTATATGGTTAGTTTTTAAAAAAAACCAACAACAGCCACCACTTCGGTTTGTATGCTTTTTCTGTCTGCGTAGTTGTGCCAGTGGTCAGCAGATAGCGAAGTATCGGACCGCTCCACCCTCCAGAGAAATAAGATCAGAAGTTTGCGTTGAACTTACAAACAGTTATCCATGCTGTTGTTACTTGGAAAGCAGAAGTGGAGAACCTGTGGCTCTCCGATGTTCCCAGTCCCCTCCTGCTTTGCCATTGGCCATGCTGGTCAGGATTAATGGATGTTGTAGCCCAACAACATCCAGAGAGCCACAGGTTCCCCACCCCTTCCTGCAAAGCAGTCGCCATTGAAAAATCCATAGTCCTTGCATGAGTTCAAGCCTCACCCTCACCTGTTTTGCAGCAAGGCTTTTTTTTGTGACAGTGCTCACCTGTACAGAGCATCGCACCCTCTTCTTTTCGCTGCCCACGGGGGTCATTTTGTTCTGGTACTCCCAGCACTTTTATCAAGATAGCAGTACAGGGCACCTTGTTTTTTTAAAATATTAAAAAGAGAGAGAACATGCATGTGTATACCTACCTGCTTAAAAAACAGTCACACCTAGCTCCTGGCTGTTAAAAAGTAGTTAATGGACTTTGCTACCCTGAGCAAATTCTTCTGGCTTCTCCACCCCACGGGTTTATGCATCGAGCCAGCCTAAGCTTTTCCCGTCACTCTGCAGCCATCGGTGCCTGTTGATAAAGCCCCGTTCTTCATTGTGTACAAAATTTGAGCTCTGGTTTCCTGGACATCTGCCTCCAATTTGATGTTGCTAAATATATTATGCTGCAATATAGACAATCCAGTAATGTTTTGATTTGTGAGCCTGCAAAGTATATCAAGTGCTCTCCTCCCAAGATCTGACTTTCTCCCTGTGCTAAAGCATCTTCGTCTTTGACAGCACTTACTTTTTGTTGTTGTTGTAGAACAGGAGTGGGACATCTCAGGCCTCTGGTCCAAATGTGGAAGCCCTCTTAAGCTTCTCTGTCTGTCTCCCAGGCTCCAAAACCCCCTTGAATGTTTCTGCCTGGGTGGAATGTCCTTGAACTGTGATAATCACAGAATCATAGAATTAAAGGGAGAGCTGAGGGTCATCTAGTCCAACCCCATGCAATGCAGGAATCTCAACACATATTCTCCCATCCAATTGGAAACCAGACCAGACCCTGCTTAGCTTTGCAAATGTGCTAGCTAGTTTTATTGCTACACCACTAGCATGATGCCTCTGGCTTGCCTGGACAGGGGATAGAGAGATCCAGTGGGCAGGTGTAGAAACTTGTCTACTCTACAAAAGTGAAATTTCCTTTCATTGCTCCGCCCACTTTCCCCTCTGACCACGCCCAGTTCTGGCATATGCTGCCCGCCCTCCAATGCCACTCTCAGGCTGAAAAATGTCTCCCACCCCCGCTGTAGCCTGCTCCTGTGGAGCTAGCTTGGATGGAGGAACGTTTTTGCCTGGCGCCTAAAGGTGTATAATGAAGGCGCCAGGAGAACCTCCCTGGGGAGAGCATTCCACAGACAGGGAGCCACTGCAGAGAAGGCCCCGTTCTCACGTTGCCACCCTCCAGACCTCTCAGGGAGGAGGCACACGAAGGAGGGCCTCAGAAGATGATCTCAGGGTCTATATGCTGCCTGACCTCCAGGAACGCAAGGTAGCATGTGTGCGCACGCGCATGCATATTTTCCATTCTGTTTACCCTCACAACAACAACCCTGTAAAGTAGGCTAGGCAAAGAGGTAAGGGTGCTTCAACGAGTGTGCAGCTTGTGTATGCAAACAGTAGAGCTGTGCACTTGTGCAATTATTCACACGTGGCATTCAAAGGGTGCCAGTTTTGTGCACACCGTGGTTGAGAGAAGTAATGCAACAGGTGCGCACTCTTGTACAGACAGCTTGTCCTTGTGTTCAGTGTGACATGTGAACCAGGTTGCTCAGTGAGATTCAGATGCTGCCCATCATCCAAGGCCATTGTCTGTGCTGTTTTAGGGCTGGTGGGAGTTGTGGTTCAACAACACCTGGAGGGTCAAAGCTTCCTCATGCCCTAATTGCTACATTAAAGGTAAAAGACCCCTGACGTTAGGTCCAGTCGTGGACAACTCTGGGGTTGCTGCGCTCATCTCGCTTTATTGGCCGAGGGAGCCGGCCTACAGCTTCCGGGTCATGTGTCCAGCATGACTAAGCCGCTTCTGAGCAGAGCATGATGCCATTTACCTTCCCGCCGAAGTGGTGCCTATTTATCTACTTGCACTTTGACGTGCTTTCGAACTGCTAGGTTGGCAGGAGTTGGGACAGAGCAACGGGAGCTCACCCCGTCGCGGGGATTCGAACCGCCGACCATCCGATCGGCAAGCCCAGGAGGCTCAGTGGTTTAGACCACAGCGCCACCCGCTTCCCAATTGCCACATTACACCGGCACATTTTGGCTCTTCACCACCCTAGCACACCCCTCGTGTAGAGAGGAGAAGCCACACAATTTTTTCCAGGGCTGCTGAGATGTTTCTGCGGTGTAGGAAGGAGAAGACATCTGTGACTCCCACACAGGCGAGCAGATAGACAAAGCTGGTCTTTCGTACACAAATGTACAGCACCGTCAGCTGCCTGTCTTGTCAGAGATAATAACGTATGGGGTGTTTCTTTTCTAAAATCAGCAGGAGATGCTCAAAGTCCAGAGTAAAAAAAAATGTCAACCCCACCCAAATTGCAGATTAGTGTTTTCCTGGGCAGGAAATGTGACAAAAAACCTGTTTTGAACATTGCAAAGAGCTTAAAGCAAGTAATGCATTATGTAACGAGTTAACAAGCTATTAAAGGGGTGGGGGGAAGAAGCCCGTTTTTAGAGAGATCTATGCACGATGTCGAGAATAAATTATGGGAACGAATACTGAGCCATGCTTCAGAGCTGTGTAAGTGAGTTTGCTCCAGCTAACTCAATGGGCGGTGTTGGACCCTCGAGGAAGCAGGCGGCGTTCTCGCTTTCTTTTTTCCACCACCCAGAAAGAACACCCCAGGCACGCTGCCAGAGAGATTGCAATGAGAAACCTGCCCCCAGAGAAATGTGCCCAGGAATCTTGACATTTTCTTATCAGCAAGAAAATACCACAGGAAGGTTGCAGCCCTGTGGAAAATGTTGAGGGAGTTTCTCCCACCAAGCCCGGTGGGACATATTTCCCAGCAAATATGCAAAAGTTTGGGCTGTTTGCTGACCATATTTAGGATTACATCCAGTACTGCATTTTTAAGACACGGGGAGAACTTCTACATGCCACTCCCATGTCCAAAGTTCAAGGCAGCCATCTGGCCTAAATAAGTAACTGCTTTCGAGACAGGTTGGTGAACTGCAAACCCCAGAAA